TCTAATATGGAGTACCCTCCGCTAATCAAACTTGGCAAGTGGAAATCCAATCAAAAAAAGGGTGTTTATGAGGTTTTGATGGAAAATAATGGAAAATATCAATAGTAGGTTTTCCTGCAAGCCATGTTTGAGCCAGCGGGTGGGAAACCGTCCCAGCGTTTTGCTGTTTTTGTGGTGATGGTTCGGTTGTTGTTTTTTCTGGGGGGTGGAGGATTTTTGGCGGGTTGGGGGGGTTCGAGGGTGAGGGGTGATGGGGGGCGTAATAACGTCTTGTCGACTATACGTTCTAAACTAATCATGTTTGTTTCTACACGCTCTTCATGGTACGATCTTAACTTTCACTTAGCATGTTCTACAACATCTTGATGCTACGCTTTCAACTTATCATGTGGGTTTCTACTCCCTTGATGGCACATTCTTCACTTTCACTTTACATTTGCTACAATTTCTTGATGCTACATCATTCCATAAGTTTAAAAAAAAAATGTCCCCGAAAATTGTCACGGCGCCACGGTTTTACAACACACCACCTCAAAAGTGAACCACTTTTTCGAAGATAAAAATGTACTTTGACCTCCGAAACGCAGTAGAAACCACTGAACGTGGTAGAAGCTGGAGGAAAAAAAAACACATGGCTGCTTGAAAACCATGGTAAATACCATGCATCTGTGTCAATCAGAATATCAAAAATCATTAAATTGCGGGGACAATGTTCCACCCACCGAGATGTTCGATTAGAGGAGGGTTGACCCCCAAAAAAAATGTCTTTTCCAAGTAATTTACCACTATTCTAGTAGGATTCTACTCTTCTTTTCACTCTTCTATCTTTTTTGGGGGTTGCTATGTATGGCCCTCATCTTCCACTTGCCTGCAGAACCAACCCCAAAATCACAAGGTAAAATAACTTTGGTTACCTATGTCAGAGGCCACTATACTGATCGGCGAATGACATAAGAATATCCAACCGTATTTCTTGACGTAATTCTGAGCTAACTAATCACGCATTAGCATAGTATAGTGTCCCATGATCCTCTGGCTACATCGAAACTCAAGTGCCCCATAATTACTGACAAAAAGAACTACAACAAAAAAAACCAAAAAAGAATAGAAAAATACGAAAAGCAACACTCCAAAGTGAGGAATTACTACTTCATCTACCCTCTGGTAAACTAACATAACTATAGAAAATCACCATTTTTAATGGGAAAATCCAGTATAAATGGCCATTTTCAATAGCTATGTAACAAATTACCAGAGGGTAACCTTTTCGACATCTGGTGCCATGGACCATGTCTCCGGTCACCCCGGTCTCCCCGGTCGTCATCCCCGGCCGGTCAAAGGACAACATCACCTCGCCACTTGGTCGCACCGCGGCGACGTAGAAAAGCCATGGACATGGTTGGTTGAAGAACCAACCATGATATGGGGAAAACTCGTTTTTTACATGGAATACCCTCTGGTAAACATACAAAAAGCTATTGAAAATGGCCATGGAAATCGTGGATTTACCCATTAATAGCATGGTGATTTTCCATAGCTATGTAAACGTTTACCAGAGGGTAACCCATAAAATTGCCATTTTAGTAGGAAGATAAATATGGGAAAATTCTGATGAAACCATGGGAAGATGTGGGAAAATGATGATTAGCCAATGGATTTGGAGGTAGTTTATTTTCAAACAAACCCATATGGGGAATAACCCAGATAAGAAACATCCCAAAACCAAGCGCAGGGTTCCATCAGGAATGCTGCCGCTGAAACCACCTCTTTGGGAGGTAGTCAAAATGATGATCGACATGGTGGGAAAATAGTGGGGAAAACCTATAACCATAACCCGTGATAAAATGGAATATGATAGGCATATATGACCAGATCATACCGGGAACAGAATGGCTTTCTTTTTGGATGTATGAAAGTTACACAGCCAACACTATGATTTTGGGATGGTCGGAAAATGGGATGGGCACCTCAAAATTGCAACTTTATTTGGGGAAAAGGATGACTAACTATCAAAATTTGGGGTGCCCTATTTTCACACAAACTCGAACAGAGAGCCCCTTTTTGGAAGAAGTGGGTGTGGTCCCTAAACAGCCAAGCACAGGTGGTCTACCTGACGGTCTGCCAGCCTGCCGACCACTGCTCAAGAACTCCGCCAAAATCAAGCGCGGCGCTGGCAGCGCCAATCCACTGGGCTCTGTGCGGTCGAAAGGCGCCTGGTCAAAACGGGCCGTTGCCAACTTGGCAGCGGTGGAAGATCGGATGACTTTGGCCTCCAGGGCCACTCGTTCACCACCAGTGACCTTGGAAAGCTCCATTCGGACGGTGAAAACCAGGGTCGAGATGCTCTGCTGATTGTCAGCTCACCTTCAACCCAGTTTGAAATCTGGAATTGTATGGATGCACCTGATACTTTTATATACCCATGAAAAGGCATCGCGAATGAGGGCGAAGGAACAAATGAATAAAGGATAACAAAGGAATGAAGGAACCAACGAACGAACAAACGAACGGAGGGAAGGCAGGAAATGGAAGGGAATGGAAGGGAATGGAAGGGAATGGAAGGGAATGGAATGAAACGGAATGGACTGCAATGAAACAGAATGACATTGAAATTTATATATCTTTATATACAGTATCATGAAATGAAACGCACCGAAACGAAACAATATGTGTATAATTGTGTATATATATATATGTGTGTGTGTGATTGTGTGTGTGTGTCTTCTCATAGTCTACCTGTTGGCCCAAGACTTCCACAGAAAAATCGTCCCTGAGAGAGCGGCCGGACTCCAAAGGAGCACGCCTGAACCTTGGCCCACGCGACCCAAAAAAGACTGGCAAGCCTATGCATTTAGATATAGAGTACATGCATAGATATATGCGGACATATAATTATATAATATATATATATACATATATGTATATGATATCATACATATATAATATGTATGTATATGTAAATATGATTGTATATATATATATGTGTGTGTGTGTACATGTGTGTGTGTTTAAAAGGCACATTTCTTACGTGTGTGTATGCATATGGGTGTCCATTCTTAGTCCTGGAATTTCTCTGAGCAACACCATGTCAGAGCTTGGACCCCAACTTCCTCCATCACAGCGGGACCTCAGCTGCTGCCAATGGCCACAGGTTGCCGTCTTTAAAGCAGTTGGGGGACCATCATTGTCAAGTTCACTCAGGAGTTAGTTGTAAAGAAAACAGGTTCTTCTTATATTCTAGAAAATCCAGGGCACTTAATTCGGGCAAGTCATTTACCACTCATTGGGGTTCTCCATGGTTCTCCCCTTTTTTTCATCAGCAAAGGGCCCCTGAAAAACCAGGATCGGCACTGAGCAATGCGAGTGTCGATGGTCTCCTCCTGCCCGTGCATGCCAGGCATTTTCTGGTGGAGTTTGAAGATTATACCCTCTGGTAATTTAACATAGCTATTGAAAATGACCATTTATGGTGGATTTTCCCATTGAAAATGGTGATTTTCCATAGTTATGTTAGTTTACCAGGGGGTACTCCAAATGAAAATGGCGTTTCTAAGTGGATTCCCATGGATTCCCTGTTCAACTTTGGCAGGTAAAAAATTGTGATTAATCACCAATTCTGCTTTCGCCGTGCGAATTCGCCGGTCTATGTACCATTTCTATATCTGTTTGTTGTTGATCAAATCCATCTTTTCAGTTGTGCCATCTCTGGCTTGTGCCCACTGGCTGAGGATGGCTGAGGTATGTTTTGAGATCCTATGAGATCCTTAGATCCGCTATAAACGTAAGGATTCTCGTCGTTGATCACCCAGCTTGGAGGTTGATCTCCCCACCCTTGGCGCTTTGCATTGCACAAATGGGCTCCCCGGCAGTCGAGAAGTTCTCACCCCCAGGCTCCACAGCGAAAAAAACGAACCTGGGCCACGAATGTGGAAAGCTCCAATGCCATAAACCACCGACCAACCATTTGGATCCATTTGGGGCAGAAGTCATCCCATGTCATCCCAAATAGAGCCATACCCAATAAACATGAAGCTCAACTAACCACTATGCCTTATAACTTACAACTTATAACCATGCATAATTAATTAATCTGATCATCGGTGATCATCGAAGCAAAAACCGTGGGTTCATGCAGAAACCGTGAGAGCTAAGTCCGCGGTCCCCCGGCCCAACATTTGTATCCAATCAACGCCCGGCCCCAGATCTAGGCCCTATTGATCCTATTGGCTTTTGGTCAAGGATTTCATGGAAGATCACCCTCTGGCACCTGCGCTTGAAATAGAATATGAATCATATGGATTGGTAAATGATGTTCTGTAAGTTTGCTTTGGGCGATTGCAGGTCTTGCAGGTCCATGTTAGATAGACACTACCTGACCTACCCTGACCGACCCTAACCTCACCCCAAAGTCTGGCAAATGTTACATCCAAATAAACTACGGATGAACCATAACCAACACTGGGTCACAGGACGAGTGTGTAGGGTGAGAAGCCGACCCTGTGAGCAAGGGAAGGTGCAGCAGCATCCCGAATTCAAAACCCTCACAGCCGGAAGGTCAAAATAGTGGGCTCATGGATGTGTGTTCCCACTATGAAAAATAGAAGATGGTTCATAATAGTGGTATTCATATGGTATTCATATGGTTCTTTTATGTTCTTTTTAATAGGTTTTGACCCATGGACACCGGTCCCGGTGAGCCAGGGCCTGTCAAATATACCAGGTCTTTGCTTGGCCTTGGTGCATTGGTTGACGAGTTCGTGGTCTTAAAAACCAGGCACCATTTTTCGATGTTTGCAGAATTTCCGGAGCTATTGATGGATTATTTATGGATGATTTATGGAATATTTATGGATTATTTATGGCTGTTTGGCAGCCGATTTTTTTTTTGATTCCTGTTCAGTTGAGGTTCCCTTTGGTCAAAGGTTGGCATCTCTTCCGCAACGCTCCAGACCTTTTCCGCACGGTTTTTCCTGTGCGCTGGCGGCGGTTGCGCAACCGCCTCACTCGGATTTCTTGGACTTCTTGGACAGGTCTCCATCTAACCTCAGGGCACCAACGAGTAAAGTCAGCTGCGAATGGATCTGACACTGACATGATCATCTTGGCAGTGCCAAGCAGCTGTTCCACCGATCCATGAAGTATCTTCCCAAATGCCTGGGCCGTGAAGCAGTGTGGGTGACCACGAGCGTACATGCTTGATTGGTATTTTCGACAAGGGGGCGCACATGGTTGGATATGCTTCTGTAATATTAATAATGTGTATGTTATATATATATATATTTTTATTATATATATATGTGTGTGTGTTTGTTTTAAAAGGAAAAACGCGGTATATACTGTACATAGAGTACACACATTGTGGGCACTGCAGGTCCTGCCCATCGCACGCCTCCAGGGAGAATTTCTCCCGCGCACGCCTGCGGCCAGCCTGATCGAGTCCCCGCCTCTAGAGGTCGTACCCTTAGGGAACTTCACTGGGGTTATGAACCACTTCCCAAATGGGAGAATCTTGAAAGAACATACCCTCTGGTAATTTAACATAGCTATTGAAAATGGCCATTTTTTTGTGAATTGTCCCATTAAAAATGGTGATTTTCAATAGCTATGTTAAATTACCAGAGGGTAACATAACATAACATAACATAACATAACATAAGTAAGAAACCTAGACCCTACGAATCACAAGCCCAAGGCTGGAAAGTCTTCTTCTAATCATAATCAATTCCAATCCCCGCAACTGGCAGAATCGGATTGGCACCCACCCTAAATGGTGGGGGGTTCAATACTAAAAGAGTGATACCCTCCGGTAAATCAACACGCTTAAAATAGCTATGAAAAATAATCAATAATCCACCCATCTACTACATGATTGACGTCTGAAAATTCACTTTTCATAGCCATATAAACGGATGGTATTCAAAAACAGGCAACTTTTGAATGATTTTTGTGTACCTTCCGTTAATCAAACATGTGCTGGAAAATCATCCGTTTATAGAGGAAATTCGATTTTCCCAGTTTAAAATAGTAATTAATAAGTATAACAATAATAATTACAATAATAATAATAATAAAAATAATAATAATAATATAGGATTTCCCAGCAAGCCACGCTTGATTGCTGAGAGACACCCCAAACTTCCCAGGTACCCACCTCCCCCAAGCGCTTCCGCAGCTCGGTATCTCTCAGCAGTTTGGCGACGCACTCCGCCCAAGCCTGGTGGAATCAATCAAAGTGGCTTTAACCATCCAAAAATGGCTGGTTTACTTTGGCTGGTTGGTGGTTTCAACCTACCATACCTACCCCTCTGAAAAATGATGGAGTGAAAGTCAGTTGGGATGATGAAATTCCCAATAGATGGGAGAGAGAAAAAAAATGTTCCAAACCACCAACCAGTTTACTATGGTTTACTCTCTTTCAGCCAAAGATTTGGGATTACTTGACTGCTGGGGGTGTGCCATCAGTTTCACCTTCGTAAAATGTGGATGCGTAGCCAATATAGTATGAAATATCCACTACCCACAACAACTTGCAAACCAAGTTTTTGTACAGGGATGTTCAGGGTATTTTACCTTCGGGTGGAGGGATTGTAAGCCATTGGGGTGAGCATCCCAACTACTGAAATTAAAGTGAAACAAAAAAATCTGAAACTACCAACCAGTGTGCCTATGGCTCAAATTGGTGGTGCCAGTGGCCAAATTTGGCCATTTTGCCTTTTGTTGTGTTTGACCATATCCCATGTGATCCCGTGTGATTCCAGGCATAGAAATCTGAGCCATTGCCATATATTGCCATAATGTGAGCCAATCTGGGGATCACCATAACAAGTCATTTAACTCGGGATTTGGATAGGCAATGGCTACTATCCGATTACTATCCCCAGGGATGAAACAAGTAGCAACCGCAACCATCACGAAGATCGGCCCTGCCGAGCCATGGCCACGCCTTTGGATCTTGGGGTCGCAGGTAGCCAGTTTCCTTGGTGCCAACGATGTCACCTTTATGCACCTGGAAAAGTTTGCAAATCACCATAACATACCATAACATACCATAACCATCCAACACCATCCAAAAGCCCAGTAGATTCAGTAGATAAACTGGCTGATCTGGCTGCAGTCCGGCTGCATTCTCCACAATGCTTTCCAACGGCCCGCCCGTGTTCACAGCCACGACCGGCAACCTTGCCTGAGAGGATCAAGTGCCACTACCGCGGTCTTACAGTAAATTTTGATCTCGGACCCAAAATGGTCCACATATATTTGTCACTTCAAGCTTTTAGTACTCATGTTTTTGTCACTCCAAGTTTTTGTATATCTCATTTCTGGTGTAAAACCTGTCAGTGATGGGGTACAAAGGTTGGCCTTGGCTCATGCCCAACTTGTATCTACGTCTCCTGTATGACCTCCTTCCAGCCCCCTTGGGGCTCCCCACATACATGGCTTCCACCGGCACGATGCCAAAGTGCTCCCGGTCAGGGGTGTACAGCAAGGCGGCCTTGATCCAAAGCCAAGGTTAAGTACCAAATCCAAACACGACCTGCCGGAAAATCCCACATTTTATAGATGATTTGCCCAGCTATAATACTATAAACCTCCATTTTTCGGGAATTTCCCATGATTTTTACCATGTCCAAGGATGTCCTAGCCATGTTTTTTTGGTCGAGATCTGGGGCCTCCCGGTATTGGCATTCCAAAGGTGTGGCTTCCGGTGCCACGAAAAACTGGAAACCCCCATGGGATGAGCAAATGGTGATATAAAAGTCTGGGATACCCAGTTTTTTAATGGGTAAAATGAACTATAAAAGAGGGATATCAAAATATATCAAATGGGATATCCTGATATGGTATGATATGGTGATATAATATGAACAATATATGAACTATAAAATGGGAGTAATAGATGGATACCCCAAATACCCAGTAAACGATCTCAGGGCCCGGCGGCATGTCGCAAGAGGCTCGCCTTCTGCGTTGCTGACACTGACCTCTCCGAGGCGGGGATGCCATCAGATTTTTTGGATCGAAAAAGTGTGGATTTTTGTCGACTGTGTCTATCGTCAAAAGCCCGGCCAAAATATATAATGTCATCAAAAATGTCATCAAAAATGTCATCAAAAATGTCATCAAAAATGTCATCATTTGGATGTTAGCACTGTCGAAACCAATGCCGGTTTTGAGTTCCCTTTCGGGAGACGTAAACGATTCCCGTTGACTTCAAAAAGGTTGGCTTTTCCGGCACACTTTCCAGCGAACAGCAACCCCAAAAAGTGCATCTTGCTAGAATGATGGATCCCGCAGCCATCAAAATTCCCAGGTCAAATGGAAAGGAAACCCATGGATTTCTGCATCCTGGGTCCGGGTGTCATGCTCCGCCTCATTTGCACCACATGCTCCGCTACCCCCAGGCTCTTGGCCAGGGCCTGGTGAAATCAAGTGCTTTCATCGTACCATGGCATACCCCGTTTTCAGAGACGGCCAGAAGAAATTCTCACCACTCTCCCTCTCTCCCTCTCTCCCTATCTCCCTCTCTCCCTCTCTCTCCCTCTCTCCCTCCCTCCCTCCCTCCCTCGCTCTCTCTCTCTCTCTCCCTCTCTCTCTCTCTCTCTCTGTCTCTCTCTCTCTCTCTCTCTCTCATTTTTTAAGTGTACGTTTCCTTGCCTAACTGAATTATGGAAGAAAATAGAGCCCGTGATCTCCCCAGTCTTTGTTTCTTCAAAACCGTGTTTGTTGTTTTGCCTCAAGGCCACCTGGATCTCCACCCCCTGTTTGCAAATGTGGAAAATGCACATGCTGAAAAAAAAGAACTGTTGTTTTCAAGCCCCGCAATGTCTGGATAAAGAAAACATCGCATAGAGTGCCTATAGAGACTATCCTGGACCCTAAATTTAAAACTGTGACTTGTATATTCCAAAATTTCTGGTTGAACCCCCCCCCCTACCATGATTGGGGGAATGAATGCTCCAAGGCCCCCCGAGCCCGGGAAAGTTCTCCTCCAGTTCAGCCGCGTGTTCGACGTTTTCAGGGAGCCGCTCATCATAGCCCCCCGCCAAGACGAGTTCTGGAAGGCTCGGTGGTTGATCAAAAAAAATGGGCTTTAGTGGACATCAACTGACATCAACTTGACATCAACATCTAAGCTGTAAAAAACTTCACTGGATTTTTTTTCATGGAGATATACTGTAATTGTCTGTAATCAGTACATTCATTCAAAGGCCCCCTGACCCTTTTCAAAGGGATGCTTTTCAGCTTTGCACAGGTGAGAGGCAGTTCGGCCACGAAGAAGCAACAAAATGCACCAAGGTAGCCGAAAAAGTAAAATATTAATATTGGTGCTATTTTAATTTAATAATAATAATACATATTTGGGGTGGCATTTTGGCTTTGCGATGCTACTTTTGGAAGGGGGGCAGGGTACCCCTACCCAACAACCTCGTCCCAAACCCCACAACACAGCAACAAATATGTGTTCATTATATAGAGGGGAGAGGGGAGAACAAAAAAATGGCCCCCGTTCCACTAATTGTTCAGACACAGTAAAATTCCGTTTAAAAAAAATTGAAAAGATCCCCGGAGATGAAGAAAAATACGTGATGTTTGGTTGACGATTTGTGTAGGGTATTTTTTGGACCCTTTTTAAGTTGGGGACAATCATAATTATCCACCATGGGAATTCCCACTACTGATTCAATATCAGCTATGTTTGCATATCCGGGATACACGGCAAGTTCTGGCAAGTCTGATGCACAAAATCAGAGAAAATAATGATAAACCATTGCTTTGTAAACCTGAGAAACCATGGGCCGCTAAGAATGCTGGGCCTTTTCTGTCCATCCTGGTGCCAACCAGACAAATGATGGCAGAATCGAGATAAGGTTTGTGTACGTGTATGTGTATATAAACATATATATATACATATATATATATATATATGTCGATCTTAAAGGAGAGAGAGGTGAAAAAGAAAAAACATTTAAAGAAAACTCATTGGCGTGGTTGCGTATGGCTTGCCAAAGCCCCTCTGGCCACTGGGGCTCCCACCACCACAGGTGCACAAAATACCCCTACAAACTCCAGATCCCGACAAATAGCACTACAGGGAAAGGATTTAACAATCATTGATATCAAATGATATCAAAACATCCGAAAATACTGTAACTTGTTTTTCCCACAGGGTAGCCGGGTAGCTGAACGGTTATCTCAGGGACTCAGGTTTGCCATCAGTCGATTCCCCCGTATGGCAAGCATCTTGTCTTGGCGAACAACTCCGATGGCAGCTCTGCCAGGGTCCTGCCGTGGATCTCCGTGGCTGAACTGGGTCATGGATCGACTTTTTTGCGGTTCAGAACTGGGCTGTATCCCCAGTTCGCTGGGTTACCATATGGTTATGACTAACATAGCCATGGAAAGATCCACCATTTTTAATAGGTAAACCATCTATAAATGGGCCATTTTCCATGGCTATGTTAAATAACCAGAGGGTATATTGGGTTACAAGGGGATACCATCAAGGTATTGACCCATTCACTGGATTCAACTGAGCCGTGATCAGTTGAGGGTCTTCCTCAAGGCGCCACAGTGGCCGCCATTAGGCGCAGGCGTGGCACCAACTGGACATACTGGACCTTTAATGGGATATGTATTATGAATGGAAGATTCATCGGATATTTCATATGAAAATATGATTCGCCAACCTGACATTTTGTTGATCTTTGGCGTACTTCCAAACGCCAGGGGTATCGGTAAACGCCCTCCGGTCCGCCCCGTTTGGGGTCCGAATCGCCAACCCGACGTTCTTCTTCCGTTCGAAGCGATTGATGGACCTGGCGCGTAACGCCAGAAGGGCATTTGAAATGCACAGATAGATACATACATGAATACCATACGCGCATATAACATCATAAAATTGTATGATCGTATGTATGTTGTCTATATATATATATATGTTCTATATAATCTTATATAATCTATTTATATTTCAAAGCACATGCAGCCGCATCGAATCCTTTATAGTGCACTTTTTTTCCACCCCAAAAATCACCATGCGCAGCCCCAGATCCATGGAGTTTCCACCGCTCGTTGGGGCACCCCAAGCGTGCCAGTGATTGCAGCAGGAGTTGTTCCCCCGGCTTCAGGAAGGAGAGCTCACCCGCCTAGCGACCATTGCAGGATCCTAAAATGGAGCTACGTTAGTACCATATTTGCGCCATATGAATTGTGGCGATATTGCCTTACTTAGCCCTCAGGCCTTGTATATGATAGGTACTGTACCTCCCATAAAAAGGTCCCTGAAATGGCCATAGAAAAATTGTCATATCGCTATCTATGATGTTTTGCATGGTCCCAGTTTCATGGCGTTTCCGTACGCAGCAGATTGAACCAAAGAACCCCCCAAAGTCTCGCTACTTGATCTTGTCCATCCCTGGTCATCCATAATTATCCATCACCTGTTCATTTTTTCACATACCGATACCGAATGTAATCCAGTGTTTCTCTAAATCGGGAATCCCCTCAACCATGCGATTCCTTTCCAGAAAACAGCCATATGGCACCTTGGCCCACCCTCGGAGTAGCTTCTTTTTTTGGATGTTCACCACCATTGATAATGGAAAACAACGTGGTCATACCCTCTGCAAACAAATATGGTAATGGAAAATGCCTCGTTCAGTTCGATATGTTCGATGATTTTTCCATATAAAAATTATTGATGTTCATTCGTAGGGGATTTCCCGGCCAAGTTTGATTACCGGATGGTACAGAAACCGACAAAATGCCACGCGAAAAAAATCCCGCACGCCTTGCTGGCATTGCTATCCTGGTCTTGCAAGTTCAAGGGTGGATACAGCCTGGCTTCGGTCATCATGGTCATCTGCCCAGGGCTGCATCTATGCATGGAATGGCATAGGGATGACAAGTATCTCCCAAGATATCCCAAAAAATGCCCAAACGATGGCTGAAATGATCCAAAATGTCAGCTGATTGAGCGCATGGGCAGCTGCCCCTGTCCCTTTTCTTGGTTTCCCCGAGTTTCCCCGTCTGCACCAGAATTGGCGACAAATCTGTACAAATCCGACGCCCACGAGAGGCACAACATGCTCGGACACCCCTCAACTTCAGCTCGACCAAGGGCAACAGGTTTCTTGTGTCTCGAAGGCTATGACACCAAGATTCAACATGATTGAACTGTTGAAGGGTGCCTTCAAAAGGGGCCAAGCGCGTCCTCCAGAAGATTGCCCTCTGGGAAAAAGGACGCCTGATGAAGCCTTTTCATCTTGCGAAACACGGCACACCCAAGGAAATCCATAAGAGTAAAAAACACTAAAAAAACATTGAAACTGTTGAAGCTGGAACTGGAACTTTTGAACACGTGGACGCCTCAGTCATCAAAGCAATCATCTTCAAAGCACTGCTCTTCTTCTTCCCCTTCTTGGGTATCCTCTTCCTCAAGGGTGTAATGTTCAAAGGTGTCCGGGAAGTCCTCGGGGTGCTCCGGGAAGTCCTCGGGAAGGTTCTCTTCGGGGAAGCTCTCAAGGAAGTCATCCGGAAACAGGTCGTCATCGAGGAAGTCCAAATAGTCAAAGTCAAGGTCTTGCGCTTCGCGGCCTCGTTTTCTGCCCCGAGGGCCGTCCAAAGCCTGCATGCTGCTCTTGGCCACAAAAAGGCTGCCGGTGGAGACCCGAGAACATGCCACGTAGAAGATGTTGTATTCTTCCTGCGTCGCTTCATCTAAATAATCCTCCAGCAGCACTACATTCTGAAATCCAAGACCCTTGGCCTGATGAACTGTGGAGAAGACCACGTCCGCTTGCTGAGAGGGAATGACCTGCTCCTCGATGTCCCGAATTAAAGCTTCCAGCTTCTCAGGGCCCATCATCTGGCCGCGCAGCTTGTCATAAATGGTGAACTTGGGAAGCCACTCCATATCCTGTTCCCGCTCACATTTGCTCCTCAGGCTCTCCAAGGATGGAAATTTGGTCAGATAATTCCGAAATTTTGATTGTATCTGATCCGTGCAGCCCTGGCCAAGGTAGAAAAGGTCCATGACAGGCACAAGATGGTTCTCACTGAAGGATTCAAAGCCTCCAATGAATGAAATGGATTTGTTCTCACCCAAGCTGGCAATCACATTCATCGCTTCAAAGAAGAGGCTGCTGTTTTTCCTGGCCAAGACAGTCATCTTTTTGTTCTCACCCAGGAGCTTTTGAATTGCCCTGCTTGGATCTTCAACCACCTCCAGGGATGTCTGGAGTTCGGGCATGCCTCGAACCTGGAAAGTGGGGTCAGCAGGCGCGGGGCTGGTTCGAGCAATGCGCGTCAAGAGCTGTGCAATGTCGTTTCCAAACCTGAAGCTTTGTGGCAAACTCATCCGGTAGTTCATCCCCATCTTCGCGAGATAACGACCGTCCACATTGTTGAACTGGTAGATGTTTTGATGGGGGTCGCACGCGATGACGCGTGCAAACTTGCCACGAGAGAGCAGGTCCAGCATGCAATCTGTGCAATCCTTGCCAAGCATTTCACCCGCAGCCCACTACAACACAATGAATCTCCCAGAGATATTACTTGAATAGAGGCTGACACAAGGCAACCTACTCCAAGAAACGTTGTTGTGGAAGGGGTGTGACACTGTTTGAAGACCCGGTAATTTCACATAAATGGGAAACCACCAGGTTTAAGAGGTAAATCATCTACAAAAGGAACCATTTTCCATAGCTACATAATGTCAGACCTAAGTCATGCCTAGCCTGGTTTTGAATGGCATTTACCTCATTGTAAACGCTGTATCCAAGAAGTCATGCCTAAGTCACGCCTAAATGTATATACTAAATTGCCAGAGGGTGTGAGATCTTTGTGTTTCACAGCCCAGTCCTGTGCTTCATCCAAGACAACAATCTCATAGCCTTGAAAAGCCTCTTCCTGAAGCCCCGGGCTCAGCTGGAAGAGCTTCCTCAGCTTGAAATCACAAGAGGGGCCCAACAGATTGGGGGATACCGAAACAGAAAAAAGAAAAAACATGTATTAGTTACACGGTATCATAATGTATCATATGGTATCATCCTTCCTTGCTATCATTTTTCCAATTCTTTAGGGATGGAAAATGGTCTGGCACTCTGGTAATTTGACATAGCTGTGGAGCATGCTCCATTTAGTTCGATGAATTACCTAGTAAAAATTGTGATTGTCCATAGCAAACTGGCACAAATTGCCAGAGGGTACAGTAATTGAAACCGCCAACTAGCTTCAGGTAGACATTGTGGGGAACCCTGAAGTGGCAGTTTCCAGAGGCAAAGTGCGTCCACAAGGTCTTGTGCAAGTGCAGCTCGCGCGAACCATCACGGCCACTCAATCTGGAAGGGGCTCTTGAAATATGTTGCTTGTCAACGTCAATCACTATCTCGAAACCAAACAGCTATGTATAAGCTTACACATATTCAATTGACATGTTTCTATTAGTATCATACAATGCGATCAAACCCATGTGCACCCAATAGCAAACCTCCTGGATTTTGCTGGGTTTATGACATCCCCAACCTGGAACTCGCAGAGGCACAAAATTGCCGAAGCAACTCTTGCTGCTTCTCTACCTCGTTCCAGCTGCACTGAAGGAACTCTTTCAGATCTGTCTTTGTTGGATCACCAATGTTGCCTTGATGCAGATGGCTTGTTGCATGGTGAGCAAGTGAGTGGATGGTCTGGACCGTCACATTCGGCAGTTCACTCTTGAAGTTGTCTTCCAACCTTTGGATCAGCTTGAGGCGTCCCCAAAGATAGAAAGATCATTGTTCCCTAAAGGTTCCCCAAGTGGTGCATTTACCAATGGAAATAAACATAGCCTCAACAACCCTAGTGCACCCAGGCAACTGCTTCGCAACGGCTTTGTTAAAAGCCAGCAGCAGTATCTTGTTGTTGGGCCTCCCCCGACACCACTCGCGCAGTAGGGTGCTCTTGCCACTCCCTGGGGCCGCCTGGATCAGAAGGGTCTGCTGTGGATCCACCGGTTGCCCCACCACCTTCTGCCACTCAGGGGACTGCAACATCCGCCGTGCCAAGGCCTTGAAGCCATCCGAGCGCTCCAGCTGCAAGGCATCGGATGCGGCGGCGGCGACCAGCATCCACTGAGTCATGGATCTGCCAGTGACCGAGGCCTGGGGGATCCGATGGGTTGTGACGCCCCAAAGACATCTACAGTAAGTCAATTGTATAGAATCATTCCAGTTTTTCGAGGGATGGAGCATGCGGAATATCAAATAATCCTCCTAAGTTGGAGATAGAAACTGACACATCTTTAAAACATGTTAAAACTATGTCAAACCGTCAAGATCAAGCAGGATGCCTCCCAGCGCTGCGAGTCAATCCTTTTCAGGACCCCAGAAGCCGCCACGCCATCCAGGACCTGCGAGAAGATCAGCTGCGACTGGGACTCCTGGTGGACGATCTCAAAAGAGCGCTGGACACTCTCCTCCCAGTACAAGTAGCGACCAGTCGTCAGGTCGCCCGAATCCATGGCATGCTCAACTGGCTCAACTGGTGTGGTTGCGCCTGGACCATAGAAATGGATGAAAATCCATGAAAATCCATGTGCATATGGCCTGATGTGACCTACATGCATGTAGTGCCAGATTGATGGTCTCTTTGAATGCGCATGTGCTCCTCTCTCCCTGCAAAAAAGCTTGGTGCAAAGATCAATGTCGATCATTGGTGGTACATCGGCATGCATCCAGTCTGAGTGGTGTCATTACGATCATTATGGGGCCTCCTGAAATGCATCTCAACATCAGAATCTCTGCCCCATGCATGGTATATTTAGTTATTTTAGTTACTAACATTTACTATGTAGAAAATGCTCAAATGCTCATCAACCATCATCAACCATCATCAACCATCATTACACGGGGAAAAAATGTCCCCAAAAATACACCTGACCTTTTTCCCTGAGATCCCGCACACGCTGGGAATGATACCCAGGCAATCCCTCAGGCTGCAGGGAGGTCAAGCTGCAAAAGATCGTCGATCGTCCGTGAAACACCGACTGAATCTCGGACTGCTGTGTTTGTCACGTTTTTCAATGGTTAGAACTCGGTAGAACAAGTCTCAAATGGCTATATAATATTATATATGGCTATTATGGATCAATTAAAGCCTTGAAATGATTTGAAATGGCTATGGATTCAACGCCTGGCACCCTGACAAACATTGAATAGAAATCTCGCAATTTCATCTTCATCCCCCCCATTGACATAGAACATGGGCTTTGACCCATCTGGAAGTGCCCAAGCTTGGCCTCCCGGCAGCAGGGGAAAGGCTTCAGCAAAGACGCCAGCAGTGAAAGAGGAGTTCACGTAGATCTGATCTGCCATACCTGGGCATCGCAGCTGACTCTTCCATTCCAAGTAGCGTTGAACGGAACATTCAAGATCTAAAAGCGCCAGCTTTTTAGATCAAGCCTCTCAACCAAATTTCCAGTGGTTTTTACCCCTCAAATCATGTACCTTCTGCTTCGCCCTGGAGTTGGGAGCCCGCACCTGTGGTCAGCTCCTTTCACAATTTTCACAGGAGGTCATCAAAGTTACCCATCTGATTCACCAATTTCATTCAATTTCTAGGATGTTTGTGGATTTTCTGGTTTAGCTCCAGCTTTTCTTAGTTATCTGCAAGATTCCACCGATAACTTCCAAAAACCATCCGAGAAGATCTGTCCGTGGATGCACCGCAAGTTTCGCTGCTACATGAATCCACCCTTTCCAAACATCCGGTGAGTGGATATTTTTTTGTGTCGATTTCTTGATGGTTTTCCCCATATTTTCCCCATATGTTCCCATATTTTCCCCTTTTCCCCATATTTTCCCCATTTTCTTCATTTTCCCCCTTTATATTGATGTATTGGATATATGATTGTACTGCACTTGTAACCACGCCTCCATCAGATCCAAGGGAAATCGGTACAGCCGTTTCAGTACCTACGGCGCAAAAAAGGGGATGGGGCAAGCCCATTGCTTGGTCATATTGAGCTCTCTTGATTTTTTCAACGCGCCCTCAACATGAATATGTATATATATATATATATATACATTATATCTATATATATATATACATATGCTCATCATAAACCAGACCAGGTTTTCATTTGCGGGGCCTGTGATGATTGACGACTGTAATTCAGGGGAAGTGCTTGCAGGGCTTCACACGAAGGCCCGCAACCAGATCCCAGAAACCCATACCATCCCCCCAGGCAGACCGAAGACTTGGTGGTCAGGAGGTAATCCTCAGCGAAATGGAAGTTCTGTCATGGTTTCCAACATCTTCAAACATCTTCAAAGATTTCAAAGCCATACCCCAAGGTCCCCAAGGTCCCCAAAAATGTTTCTGTCCACATGCCCAGCGGCTGGGTAGTGGCAGTAGAAGATAATGCCGTGCGGCCGGGCCAAGCGCAAGATTGGAAGACAAATGGACACCTGCCAGCTGCCGGATGCAGGATGTAGGACATTGCATCTCACGCCACCTGGATTGGTGGATTCTGGAAAATCGCCATTATTTATATATTAAAATTATATGTATGCATTAAAAATAATTTAGAAAACACCAAGGGTGTGGGTCCGTTTCGGTACAATTTTAAGGTACCCCAATTCTAAGACATCCTCCAATGTCCCAAGCCCCGCCTGATCAACGATCAGAACCTGGTGGTGAAGTGTGCAGCCCCTAAAATTGGTGGAGATCATTGGAAAAAATCAATGCTTTTAAAATTACCCTCTGGTTATTTAACATAGCCATGGAAAATCCCTTGTAAATGGAGGTTTTAATGGGAAAATCATCTATAAATGGCCCATTTTCCATGGCTATGTTAAATAACCGGAGGGTATTGCAAAAGATCTTAAGTTATCTTTACAAGGGACTAAGAATATAGTGCTTCAACCGTCCAACTTCTTTGCTGACTGGCCCCTTGAGCTTCTTCATGCCCACGCTAAGGCTGCTGCATGAAACCCGCCAGCGAAGGACAGCAGGAGGATTCTGAGTGACACCCAGCACATTCGAAGGTATGCGCAGGCAGCGTAGAACCGGCCGCAGATTCTCCTGAAGACAACCCTCAAAACCCAGTAGGTGTTGCCTAGCGGCTGGGTGCCTGTCCGCCCTGCAAAGAAAGGGCCCTTCAGCCCTTAGATATCTGATCAACCTGTGGATCAGCAACCACAGCACCTGGAATAGTGCCCTGGTAGCTCCTCGGAAGGAAATCGCCAAAGACGTGGACTTTGAGAGTTCCATTCCTGCAGTATGGGGTGGACCCCAGTGGCTGTGCGATGTGGTGTCATTGCTCACTGTGCTGCCAACGGAGTCTGCTTTGTTTTGAACTTTCACCTGAGTTCAGTGGACTTGCTAGAAGTTTGCCTACATGCTGCTTCCAGAAAACCACATAGAGATTGAAAATGGATGATGAAAATATATATAAAATATCAAATAATAAGAAAGTCCTAATCTGCAGAGGCAAAGGTTCTTGACAAGCTTTGCCCCCAGTTCTAGAATAAATCAACTTGGACCAAAGCGGTAACATGTGACATGCCAAGGTTGCAATTTCCTGCCCTTGAACTTGAACGATGCCCTCGAGAGTGCATCATTCACTTACAGCTCCCAGAATGGGGTCCTTGTCTCTTCGAAGCAGTGGTCTTTTTCATGCCTGGCCATCAGATAGAACCCACCACCACTGGCTTTGCGATCCAATTTTTGCCAAAAAGGATCATGAAGATGAATCAGGAAAAGCGTCATGCAATGCATTTGGCTGCACAGTATCAATGCTTCACCCATTGATCCCAAGAAAATGTCAGCGTGGCCTTGCTGTGAACATCTCCACCTTCAGCGTCCCAAAACTGCAGCATTGTTTACCCTTGCATCCTGTTGAGGAATCGTAGTGAAAAAGTGCCATGGCAAGAGGGAGATTTGCAGGATTTGCCCCACACTGCCCGTTGTGCCTTAGATAAGTCCATGTGCACCATGATTATTGCAGAGAATATATTATCAGCGTAGCACCTCATGGCCATGATTCTGAAGCGCCACTGCGGCATCCACCACCAAGCGCCTTGGTGGATGCTCCCCCAACCCATGGCGTTCCTCAAGGTCTTCCCTCGTTGGGATGATTCAACAGTCAACATACTTCAAGGTGGATACAAACATCTGATACGTTAGGTGGAAACAGGTGCCTCAACCGAAAATCTGTACCAAAGTTTCTATTGTGCGTTTAAAAAAAAAAAACATGTTCAATTGACACCCTAACATGCGTTAAATTATCTCAGGGTGTCCTGTGACTTTCCCCCCTTCCAATTCCGATGTCCCTAGGGTGCGAGCTCCGCTCCACCAATGCCCAGGTCTGGGTGGACGAACCTCAGTGTGGGATGCTTCAAAATGGGGTGCCGTTTTGGAGCAGCGATACCACCGGGTTTCATGAAGTTGGTCCTTCTTGGTGCACCTTTCAACTCTCCAATTTTGGAGGTCCAATATTTGTGCTGGGCCAAAAATCTGGTAGAGCTCAAGGTTAAAAATGATGTAGTTCGATCTCTTGGCTGGCATAAATCCCTCATATCAAGAGCTACCAAAAGAAGGATCACTTGCGTCGCACTGATCAACTTCAGGAAGAGGCAGTGCCCCATTGAACCACCTATATCCACCTATCATTTCACCCTAGGACCCTGCTTGTACTTCCAAACATATAATCAAACTCAATCATGCATCATCCCCCGGATCTTCGTGCAATCGTTGAACAGTTATAATTCATGTTAGTTTTGAGCAATGACATTTTTACCACCCAGATTTTGATGTTTTATACTTTTTAAAAATCTGTTCCGCCACCCATTTTTTGGTAAATTTTGGGATGGCGGGGGCCCGGTGGATCCATGTGGATCCTATTGCTTTTTTACACCAAGAAACGCGATGCGGATCTTCTGTCCAGCACTTCGAGCGGAGCGTCGTGGGAGAAGCCAACCCAGGAGCACTAGGAGAAGGACTGGCCTGGGGCACGGTCAGAAGCCCTGGAACAATGCTGTTGTAATCGTTATCATATATGGTTATGATATGGTTGTGATATGTTATGATATGTTTGATATGTTAGAACCACAAACATACTTGCAACAATTGCGGTTGCACGCTCTGGCAATCCTAGTGCAATTCCATCTCACTGGGAGTTCCATCATCCCATTTACCCTCTGGTTATTTAACGGGTTGCTATGGAAAATCACCGTTTTCAATAGGTCTCTCTCTCTCTCTCTCTCCCCGAGAGTTTTCAATAGGTAAATCATCATGTTTATTAATTGTCTATAAATGGGCCATAGCTTCCATAGCTACAATAATCAGAGGGTATATCCGACGATATTCCGAGGTTGGGACCCACCATTTCAAGATTGTTGCAAAATGACCTTAATTTTCTGGAGATGCTTTGTGGTTGCTGGTTGGGTCACCTCGGTTCCAAGAATATGAGTGGATTGGTGCCCTGCTGATCTGATTTCACTTTCAGATCTTTCAGATGGGCCTACGGAAAGGATAGAAAATGTGTTCAAGATTCCTTCAAATCACCATCTTACCCATCTTACATCCACCCGCATTGGACCCACCAAGATGGCAAAAATGTCCACCAAGAGGCGCTGTCACCAGGAAGACAATGAGGAAGATCCAGGTCCATGCAACGGCCATCCCCAGCTTCAGCGACATGGCACTCTCACCCGTCTTTCTATCAGGGATGCCCAGGGCGAGGGGGGTTGGCTAAGGGGGGCCATTGGCGGAACTGTAGGCTTTCCCATGCCACACTGCGGGATCTTGGGGACATTCCTTTTGAATCCTTTGAATCATAGCAAGTTCTCGGGAATATATGCAGTTAGGACAGTTAGGATCCATGACTGGCAAGTCTGGCCCGCAATTGGGATGCATTGCAGCATCCTAGAGCTGGTGAGGGGTTTCCACTGCTTCATGTGTTCAATCACTGCATGATTCAAACAACATTGTTGGGCTCAAATGTGAGAAGCGAAACAGCTCCAGAAATGATTCTCTGCAAAAGGCTTGGTGTCTTGTCCACGCTGTATTTTGGAGTTCAATCGCTCTCTTCCAATACTAAAAGCCCCGAGAATATTCTCAAACAAACAAGAGTCGTGCAACGGCCATAGCGAACCCAGAACCCAAGATGTAATTCCCGCTCAAGGGTGACAGGAAGTAACAATCCCATCAAATGTTTGCAACAAATGTATCATTCAGAATTATAATTAACATTCATTTGCAGTTGCAAAATGCGGCACCATTTTTTAAGCCTTAAACTCACAAGTTGACATGTAGAAAATCATCTCCCAAAGCCCCATCCTTCGTACGACTCGTGGCCAAAGCTCCATTTTTTCATGGCTCAAAGTGGCACCCCCAGCAGACCAGCGTCCGTTGGGGGACCAGCGGCAGGCGCCCTCGGCAGAACTGTTCTGCCGAGAGATCTCGGCCCAAATGCCTTTGGGACATGGGCCAAATCCAACTGGTTGGAATGTTGGAGGATGTTGAAAGATTTTGAAAGTTTGAGAATCCTGATATTTCTGCGGGCCAAATTTTTCACGCCCTGGGCCAGTTCCGTTCACAACGCTGGGCGTTTGAAATAAGATGGTGGATAGAAATATACAAACAAAAACCAAAATGTGTGGTTTGGGACTGATCTTAATTTTTTGACCCATGCCCATTTTGGGCAACGTCGCCATCCCCCCTCCAAAGCCTTCGCTTTTAGGGTTTTGAAGCGTCAGTAACGACAAAGGAAAACTAAAGCGGCACCCCCAGCTGACCTAGTGTCCGTTGGGGGACCAGCGGCAGGCGCCCTCTGCAGAACTGAACTGCCGAGAGATGAAGGCCCAAAAGCGTTTGGGGCATGGGCCAAATCCAACTGGTTGAAATGTTGAAGGATGTTGAAAGATTTTGAAAGTTTGATAATCCTGATACTTCTGCGGGCCAAATTTTTCACGCCCTGGGCCAGTTCCGTTCACAACGCTGAGCGTTTGAAATAAGATGGTGGATAGAAATATACAAACAAAAACCAAAATGTGTGTGGTTTGGGACTGATCTTAATTTTTTGACCCATGCCCATTTTGGGCAACGTCGCCATCCCCCCTCCAAAGCCTTCGCTTTTAGGGTTTTGAAGCGTCAGTAACAACAAAGGAAAACTAAAGCGGCACCCCCAGCTGACCTAGTGTCCGTTGGGGGACCAGCGGCAGGCGCCCTCTGCAGAACTGAACTGCCGAGAGATGAAGGCCCAAAAGCGTTTGGGGCATGGGCCAAATCCAACCGGTTGATGTGTTGAAAGATGTTGAAAGTTTATGAAAGTTTGATAATCCCGATCGAAGGAAGTTTCGTAGTCAAACTTCCGACAATATGGATAGATGGAAAAGCCAGAGGTGGGAAGAGTCAGAGAGGAGAACAGCAGAAGAGGAAAGATCAGAGAAGAGAAAGGGTGAGAAGAAAGAAGATGGCGCGCGAAAAGGTAGAAAAGTCGAGATTCACTGCGTTTTTCCTATGATTTGTGGCTCCGGAGGGTCGAAAAGTAGGCTCGTTAAAGGGGCGGGTGCGGAGACATCTAGGGAGATGAGAAATGAAAAATTGCACGCCGTTGCGGCGCAAAGCACATTTCCAAGTCAAAATGTACAAAACACACCATGTTCGGAGCACTTTTGGAAGTTGAGATGTCGAAAAAGTGCACGTAGTTGTGGCGCGAAGCACGGTTCGAAGTCAAAATGTGCAAAACACACCACGTTCAGACCGCTTTCAGAAGTTGAGATGTCGAAAAAGTGCACGCCGTTGTGGCGTGAAGCACATTTCGAGGTCAAAATGTTAAAAACACTACATGTTCGGACCACTTTTGGACGTTCAGATGTCGTTTCGCGTGGCCAGCGCAAGGGATTGTGCACCTTGTCAAAAACGAGAAAAATGGGACAGACAGACAGACAGACAGACAGACAGCCAGCCAGGCAGGCAGGCAGGCAGGCAGGCAGGCAGGCAGGCAGGCAGACAGACAGACAGACAGACAGACAAGGTAGGTAGGTAGGTAGATAGATAGATAGATTAGGCAACTACAACCACAACTACACTACACTACCACTACAACTACAACTACAATACATATATACCACGCTGCAGTACACTAATTACACTACACAACACTAGCACACACTAATTACAGTACACTACACTAATTACACTACAACTATAACTACAACTACAACTACTATTACTACTACAGCTACAGTTACAACTACAACTACACTACATTACACTACACTAATTACACTACACTGACCACACTACACTACGCTAGACCACAACAACAACTACACAACACTACGCTACACTACGCTACACTACTAACTACAACTACAGCTACAACTACAACTACACTACTTTACGCTACACTACAAAACACTAGGCTACACTACAGCACACAACGCTACAGCACACTACACTACACTACACTACACTACACAGCACAGCACACTACACTACACTACATTACCTTACACTCCACTCATTACACCACACCACATCTACAACTGCAACTACACTACACTAACTACACTACACTACAACTACAAATCCACCACACTTCAACTACAACTACAGCTGCACTACGCCACACTACATCCAACAATTGTTGGTGAGGTGACCATTGCAACCATTGCAGCCATTCCGAAAAACACAACTCCAACCGCCTTTCGGTCCATCAGTGGATTCGCTCTCCCATCCGTGATTCACGACAGCCAACCTCTCCTATAGTGTCCTATCTTTGAAACTTCCGCCACCGCCTTGCGCGGTACTACTGGTATTTCTGCAAGCCAAGTTCTTTTCGCCGTGGGCCAGTTCCATTCAACCCAATGATCACAACGCTGTGCATTTGAAATGGAATGGTTGATAGAAATATACAAACATGTACAAACAATGACCAACATGTGCGGTTTGCGACTGATCTTAGTTTTCGACCCACGCCTGTTCCAACATGTGTGGTATGGGACTGATCTTAGTTTTTGTCCCATGCCCATTTTGGGCAACGTCGCCATCCCCCCTCCAAAGCCTTCGCTTTTAGGGTTTTGAAGCGTCAATAACAAACAAAGGAAAACTAAAGCGGCACCCCCAGCTGACCTAGCGTCCGATGGGGGACCAGCCGCAGGCACCCTCTGCAGAACTGAACTGCCGAGAGATCAAGGCCCAAAAGCGTTTGGGGCATTGGCACAATCCAACCGGTTGAAATGTTGAAAGATGTTGAAAATTTATGAAAGTTTGATAATCCTGATATTTCTGCGGGCCAAATTCTTTACGCCGTGGGCCAGTTCCGTTCAACCCAATGATCACAACGCTGGGCATTTGAAATGGAATGATGGATAGAAATATACAAACAATGACCAGCATGTGCGGTTTGCGACAGGTCTTAGTTTTCGACCCACGCCCGTTCCAACATGTGTGGTTTGGGACTGGTCTTAGTTTCTGACTAAAATGATGATCAACCAGGATCCGGCATCAAATCTGTAAGCACACCTAACCGTTTTCGATATTTTCAGATGAAATTGTCCCCCGATTTTTGGACCTTTGAGCCGTGGCGAACATCGTCGCCGCTAAAAGCTGGCCATGTTGACTTGGATCGCCCGTTGCAGAAGACCCAGGACGTGCACGTGGGAGCCATCCACATTGGCCTCCTGACCACCCGGGCTGCCCAATGATAGGAAGGTCGCACGAAAAAAAGAGAAGGGCCTGGCGGCCTCAATGCTGAATCAATGCTGAATCACACTTTCATCAAGGGTCACTCGAAACTTGCCACTATGTTCTACTATTTTTACTACGCTTTTACTTTTCTTAAGCATCTTTTTGGGGATGCTATAGATCAATCCCATGTTTTGTAGGGTGAATCCACACCTTCATGTCATCGCTTCCTCAACAGAGAGGTTTATATAACATGATACAACCAACAAATAAGGTCGCTATAATCCGAATGATGTCCTCCCGAGGCGACATCCTATGGAGGTCAACCCGTTTGCTAACCTTTTGGGTGGGAATCAAACCCGCAGCCACATAGCACTACTTTTGACGGCGTTTATGGCAGGGTCTGGTAGGACCTTTTTCTACGGCAAGTATGTACCCCTCTTTTTCGGAACATCTTCACGTGCATCCCTTCATTGATGGTCTTGTTTGACATCCCATTTGCATGGTTTGTATTTGTTGTGGATCAACAACCACAACCCAACAAAATACATCAAAATACAGTACCATCAATATAATTCACCTTCATTTCCCAACTAAAATGACAACCTTTTAGAGCATCCGTTCATTTCCGCTCCCCATTTCTGTGTCTGTTATTTTACATCTTGGTTTATGTGGCTTCTCATCTTCTTTTTTTGGCCGTGGGCCAACAACCCAAACTGAAACCATCATCCCTTTGTATTGGAAGCAGCGGGCCAATTCATGATCCCCAGTAATGAAAACCAAGGAGTCACACAAATCCGTAGGGTGACACTCAAATCCGTGGGTGACACTCAAATCCGTAGGGTGACACTTCAAACCCAGGGTTTCAAGCAAAACTAGTCATAACTAGGATTCTGATCAAAACCTGCGACCCAAAATCCCGGGTTTCAGCCCAATTTAGACGGGCCGTGGAGTTCGTTAACTGGTTCGTGATTATGCTTTTGTTAAATTCCATTGTGCCCTGATGACGCTTGGGGATATACCCAATTTACAATCACCAGTTGGCGCACACCATGGCCCAACTAGTCTAAGTTTGTAAATAGCATTCTTATGACATTGTACAACTACATTGAAAAACGTTTTAGAAATAGATATATATATATATACATAAAAATATTTATATATCAATAAATATATATATATATATATCAATATATAATTATATATATATATATTTATATTGATATATATCTCTGTCTCTCGGACGGCTTCTGAGTGGTGCGTGCGCAGCGGTGGCATTGCAGCGCAGCACGGGGTTCAATGTCCAACAGGTCGCTTTGTACACACTTCAAAGAGGGGTGCAGGAGTTTGCCCCCACCCAACTTCCATGGTATGCCACAAGCTGTGGGACTGCACTAGGCTACAAACTTCACGTGTTTCCAGCAGGGAAAGAAGCATTCTCCGCGAACCCTGCCTGAAACTGAGGTGGCTAGGCATGGCTATTGTCAGGCACGCCCACCGGTCCATTAACCAACCAGTGTAGTTGGTGCTAGTGCTGTCTAGCAAGCCAACGTGACTGAAGAAATTCTAAGTTGATCGGCTGCTTAAATCAAGAAAAAGTGGAGAGATGGGATGCCACACCCAGGTCTCCAAAATCTAAAGGCCAAAAACACTGGAAGTGTGACCCATGTTCGAAACACTTTTGCAGCAAGGTTGTGCCGCTCCAACTTTGCTACCCCCATGTTTCTGAGCCGGCCCAAAGCTCATACAATCATTGCCGGGTGCTGCTCCATGTTGTCTCCAACACGCCCAGAAGGGGGATGGAAGATGACGCACGCAGCTCATTGAAGGCCCGCTTGCACGATCTATATAAACTATCTCCGGGCAGTGGGCTGCAAACTGGGTCTGTCGAATCATAACATCCTTGCTGCTGACTTGCAGGCCGCGTTGTTTCAAAGCCGCTGCCGAGGTTGAAGTCATGCATTGCTTTCCAGGAAGCTGCGATGCCAGCAGGCAAGTTGCACATAGTCATCCACCTGGATGAAGTCGCGAACCAGGCGCCCAAAATGCAGAGCAAAGTTTTGAAGGTTGCCAGCACACTGGCATTGGGTGGCTGCAGGCACAGTGATTGGTGATCCCATGTTGCACATGACCAGGAGTAGCCATGATCCTCTTCCCAAGTAGCATCGGGGATGCAAAACAATCAAATGCCTTTTTGACGAAAGGACCGCACAACGAGGAAACGAAGCCATGGTTTAACAATCTCCCAAGCATCAGTTGAAAACAGCCCCACTACTACTGGAAAGACTTGGGCCGAAGGCTTGTATAATAATATATATACCGCATGATATGACATCATATCGCATTTTATGATCTTCTATAACATTGTATGTCCTTGCATAACATTGTATGACATTGTGAACACTTCAAATATATATATATAACATCAATAACATTGTATGACATCGTAAAATAATATTAAACATCATATAACAACAAATAACATTGTACAACATCATATAACATAATATGCCATTATACCGCCCCTATAAGTAAGTATATTGTTTATCCCTGTGTTCCCTATGTAACCCCTGTAAGTATGCTATACACCGTTCCCGTCCTGCGCGATGTCCATCGCCGTTCTGCCCTGGTCATCGCCTTCTTCGGGGTCCGCGCCCTCTTCCAGCAACATCCTTAAGGCCTCGTCGTCGCCTGAACGTCGTGGAACACGTGTGGATCATATGTATATTGTATATATCTATGCACGCGAATATGTTGATATAAAATCACAGTGTGCGTGTGTGTGTGTGTGAGTAGATGTGTAAATGTGTGGATGGTGTATATATGGATCTTCATCTTATCTATATGCACATAAATATATATATATATAATACTATAATATGTATATGCCTGTGTAACTGCGTATATGTGTGTGTGTGTGCAAATATGGATGTGCATGTGTATATCTACATTCTTTATTATCTATACCCAAACTCAGGATTACTCGTCTGAATACCAAGCTTACAGAGATGTACAGCATTCACAATGAGGGTTGACTGTTCTCCTTTGTCTGGGGGGAACTTATTTGTCATCGAAACTGCTGAGGAAGTTTCAGAAGTGATGGAAAAAAAACAGACCCAATCGCTGACATGAGATCAAGGTTTTGAGGCATTCTCAAAACATCAACCTTTGACTGGCGGCTCGCAGTTGCACTCAGTGCTCAAATTCTGGCAGGGATTGATCAGCTGTGGGTAACCTATGGTAACCTTCAAAAAATGAAGGCATCCCCTGTACACGCAGCGAAACATAGACAACAACGCGACGTTAGCCTTTTTGGACCTATCCCATCATAAAAGATAATAAACCCCAACATATTGGCTATCCTCTGGTAATGTAACCTAATTGTTTAAAATCAGGAGGTCTAACCGTTTTGCATAGGTAAATCATCTGTAATAAATGGACCAGGTTCCATAGTTATGTTACCGGAGAGCAATCCCGAACTCATCAACCAACAGCGCTGTTGAGCATTGCCCATATTGCCCACCTATATCTGCTGCGACGTGGATAGGATAGACGCACTGCATCTTCACCCGTGCTGTCAACTTTCCCAACTGTCGTGGGTGCTTGACGTCGTCGAAGCCGTGCTTCGTAAGGAACTGCTGCAGAGAATCCTGCAGCATTGAGGAAGCCAACAGACCTCTTGATCAATTTTTATGAAATGTCCAATGCTCTCAACGCTATCAATGAGAAGCCAACCCCTTCAAAAAAAGTCCAAAGACTTCAAAAAGCATGAGGCAATTGATTAGGGTTCTGTATTGTCTCATCCGCAGTTCACGGCGCGTTTCCTGTTTTTGCAGCCTTTTCCAGCCCTGGAGTTTTACCCGTTTTACCCCCAATTAACGCGGCCAGGCATCTCGTTTCAGTTCCTGGAGCGTTGCTCCGCTGCGAATTGGCGTTTTCCGAAGGATGACCGACATCTTTGTGGATGAGCGGAGCCACTGCACAGCCGGAGATCGCGGCGAAAAATTGCATTTGAGATGTAAATGGCCCCGATGGAGGGATAGGTATGCCATGTTGGGAGATTGTTTTTTCTGGTTTCTGCTGGCTCAAAAGGCCCAAAAACAGCCGTCCGGGGCCCCGACCCAGCCCCAGCACATGCTGTGGTTCCATCCGAACACCTCTTCCAAGCAGAAACCAAGATCAACATCAACCAAGCCACGCAGACTACACCGAGAAAAGGCCACGAACTGCATAGGAAGTTCCAGAAAAGACATTGCCGCCTCAAAGCCCACAAACTGTGGTGCCTTGCTTTGTGTTTAAACTGATTTTATTTGTCTATTTGAATGTATGTCGTATGTCTTAAGTCCATTGAGGATAGTATAATATGTTATATGTCATGTCATGTCATTTCATTTCGTTTCATGTTATATCAGTTATATCATTGAACAAGTGGCATGTTGTGCCCAAGAATCTTCAGAGCCATCCCGCCCACCTCGTCAACTCCTTGCCGTGACGCTGGAACTGTGTCATGCACAAAATTGTTTTCCAAAAGTGTTGGTATCATCCAAAGATCTCCAAAATTCATACATGTGTAGACAACATCTGTGCATGCATCGTGCGCAACTATGCTCATTGCGTCTTTCATGTTTCTATTTGCTCAATTTGCTAATGTTCACTTGTTCTTTGTGCTAGCCTGCCTGCTGTATTCCTACGTTGTGCGCATTGCATGGAATCTACATATGTGGCGTGCCAGCGTCTGGACGCATCATGATAGGCCCCTCTGAGGATCACTAGAGGCTTATCTACCATCTAAACATATAACAAGTGAGATAACGAGATAATATCGGCCAGTGGCAGTTCTCAGCGGGATCTACCATATTTAGCGCATGATGATGGATCTAATGATACCAACCCTGGATGTGTAAACTCCGGTTGGCACTTCATAGGGAGGGCTTCCACCAAAATAATGTTCAGTATTGCCAAAATTGGTGCCCATCCATCATTTATAGGCATATATATATATATACATATATACATTTTTTTTAATAGATTATTTTCCCATTAAAATGTCCATTCAGTTCGGGCCGCGGTTTCCGCCTGTCCATCTAATTGCACCAATGCTGCTGGCTCAGCCAGGACAAATTCACCTTGCGCTGCAACATCACCAAAATGGGGCGCCTTTTGCACTTAGTTGCAGCATGCAGCCAAAGTTTGAAATTTATGTGATGCAGCCATATTTGCATAATATTTGCACAATATTTGCACAATATTTGCACAATATTTGCATAATATTTGCATAATATTTGCATAATATTTGCACATTGCGTAGCTTTCTTGAATGGTTCAGACTTAGATCCTTTGATCCATAGCCATCACCCGATAAAAATTCATCGAGATCTGCGGGGACCTTCGTCAGCCTCCGCCAGGAGAGTCGTCAAACCTCACATTCACGGCTCGTTTCGTCATGGTTGTTGAGTGGTTGAGGCTGCCAGCCACAAGATGGTGATACCATATGATGATATATGATGGGGATATCATGCTGATGTATACTGGTGTTTAAGGTAAAAAATAGCGATAATGGTTCGGACACGTGACATAACTGGACAATATTAATACATATATAATCATATGTATACAACAATCACGACGAATTGATGCTGATACAGTGATGTGCACCAACATAAAGCCACTAAACATCTCTTTGTTTGGTGATTGAGCTACGGCATCCGAGCAATGTCAAGTAGCGATTGGGGAAAACGACGACAACGACAACAACAACAACAACAACAACAACACCAACAGCAGCAGCAGCAGCAGCAACAGCAACAGCAACAGCAACAGGTTGAAGATGCTGACTTCTCAAGATGGGTATGGCCATTGAGTAAAACAAAAATATGCAAAAATAAACCGGTTCTCATCGCATGCCTTAAATAATTTGAATGCGCCTGCCCCACCCAACAGTTAACCACCAACAATGCTGTGGTGATGTTTCATGATTCAACAAAACTCGTATAAGTGTTCGAATCACCCTTGTTTTTGGTCCGACCGCCACGGTGCCAATTTCGTGCGAATAGCAGGTTATCAAGACACCAAACATATAAACATCCACCATCGTGACGAATGGCCCATTCCAAGTGCAGAAAGCCACCGAAATCCCCCCCCCAAAAAAAAAAAAAACAAGATCATAATAGCCCAAAAAATCTTCCAAAATCCATCTCCTCTCATAAAATAGGGCAAAAGTGCAAAAATCCTTCGGCTTTGCCCATGATTTCGTAACACTCTCCAACCCTCCAATCCCACGCCTCGCGGTTGCACGGTGTCCCCCTCTGGCATCGGGCGGCAGTTCTCCAACGCCAGGGCGTCTTGGAAGTGACTGGAGGCGTTCCAGCGCACAGTTTCTTGCTGGAGGTCCACCTGCGAAAGGTGGGAAGGTTTCTTGCTGGAGGTCCACCTGCGAAAGGTGGGAAGGTCTTGGAGAGGACATAATGGTAAGGGTGGTTGTACGTGGTATTGATGTTTAGTGGTGTTTTACTGGTGTTTTAGTGGTGTCTTGGTGGTATTTTGGTGGTGTTTTGGTGGCGTTCGGGGTAAATGTTGCTAGCCAAAAGGACGGGAAGGAGTCACGAAGATTTCCATCAGTCCAGGAGCTAAGTCACATATGAACAGAAACAGAATAATGTTGGCGACCCAATAACAAACCTACCATTTGGGGATGGTTACTCTTGGGTTTACCACATTATCATCGATAAATACCGTTTTACCAGCCACTGCCAGAAAGGACCTCACCAGTTTCTACCTTGATTCACTGGTGGGCTTGGTCATTTCCAGGATTTCTGAAGCCTTTTCAATAGTGAGAATGGATTAAAATGGAAGGTGCCAACCCCAGCAACAGCCAAGAATTTTGACGAAGACCCACAATCTGCACTTTTTTTTGGGGTGAGATCAGCATTTTCAGCTGTTTATTTTGAATCGGTTTGAGCCATATGGCTAGCCACACCAATGTCCAACTGCAGTGCCTCCAGGATATGGGCCTTCTCACTAGACCTCAGGTCCAGGCCCCCTGGAGGGTGCATCAAACGTATAAAAAAGAGATATCAACACATGACCAATCACGAATCTCTCCATTCTCTCCAGGTCCTTAAATGTAAATAATGTAGGGATTTCATGCCTGAATCTTCCCACCTATCCCATCTGGGCCCCCTAACGTGGTGTTCTCCAGCCTTGGTACAACCACCAGAGCCAGTTTTTGCGTCTCTGGATCAAAGCTGCACGCCTCAGCTGGTGTGGAGGGGCCGGACTTCACCCCCTTCACGGCATGATGTCTCCAAGTCCCAAAAAAAGAAAAAAGATCGGCCGATACCCCGAAACTGGGAGGGATTCTTCGGCTAGTTCGTTGCTATCGAACTCATGTTTTTGGCAAACATCTTTTGGCCATTCCAATCCATTTCAAGCCTTTCCCATACGATTTCTGGAATGAAATAAAATGGGGATGGGTCAAAACCCTGGTACCTAGTGAACCCCAAAATAGCTGGCAAATGGATGTTCATCCCCCTAAAAATGGTATTAATAGGTTTTGACCCATCTCCAAATCTGATCCCCACTTTCCCATCACCACCTTTTTCAAACCCCGCCACCGGCATGGCCAATTCGTAGCGCTGCGCTTCGGTGTCGTTCAATGCATCCACGACCTCCGGCTACGTGAACCCCCTCCAAAACATGGCGAGTAATGGCCATATGTTTGCGACAGCAACTGGAAAAAAATCCGGATCTTGGCCATTTTTTGGGCCCCTAAAAGGATATCTATGATATCACCTTCTTAAGCCTTCTTACCCTGGTCACAAAAAGCCTACAAGTATCTACAAGTAGGAGGGGCTGGTTGTGAGCTCCGCAAAGTTCTCCCAAATTATGTGGATTCTGTGGGTCCACAACTGGGCTGAGTCTAGTCTGGACGCCCATTCAGAAACGTCGATGTACTGCATTGGGTTTGCCAAGAAGTTCAACGCCAAGATGGATTCAACACTCTTCAGAATCAGCTTCTCATTTGTTAAATTCTTATGAGAATCTATATCAATCTACCCTCTGGTAAATTAACATAACTATGGAAAATCACCATTTTCAATGGGTAACTATAAATGGCCATTTTCAATAGCTATGTTTGTTTACCAGAGGGTAACAGTATTTATCACCAGTTTCTCATGATTCATCCGTTTCTTATCTGTTCTGTGCTAATCGTCGCCTTGACCAAGCGGCTGTCATCGCTACAACTTGGGCACATCCTGGGCACGTTTCGTTTCGCGTTTCGATGCCGATAAGGGGGGGCTCAAAAGTTAGATGCTGAAAAGTGTGCCACCAGAATGTTAGTTTGATGATCTGTCCTTTATAATGTTCAAGTATCCAACTGTTCTATCTATTTTGGGGATTACCATATATTACCATAGATGAACTTACTATAAGTCATTATTCGCCATGAAATTAACATAGACATAGACCCTCCCGTGAGTCGTGGTTTGGAAGATGAGTTTCCAGTTAAGAATTGGCGATTTTCAAGGTCTGATTGCTGGAGATGTTGATTGGAGCTGCTTTGGGTTTGGTTGTTTTCACCTTCCATCTTATTATGGACCATAGACCATGCCGATTGGGATCTATTCTATGATTGCTCTTTGCTGATGTCCAGCCATTGTTTATTGCATCACCACTCCGCGGAGAGTGAAAAAGAAACTGCTAGCTTCTGCTTGTATTCATTCAAAAAACGCGCAAAACATATCAAAACCTCTTTCAGAAAGATTTGTCCACTTTAAAGCTGTGTTAAATTCCCATTTGGATGGTTGATTCAAGTTGATTCCCTCATTTTGGCCAAACGCCCTCGGCGATTGAGGCATCAGCACTGCTACATGGACACCTTGGGTCACTCAGCAACCACCACCTAGATCTATGTCTTCCTCACAGTGACCAAAAAATCTTAGGAAATGAATGGTGTTCACCATGCTGAGTGTCTCTCGCCTGTGTTTCTGAAAATAGTTGAAGTGTCGCCTCGAAATTTCAATAGAATGCTTAGGGATCTTCGGCATGTAGTTTCTCTCAATTCTGATCCATTCTCACGTGCAATGAATAAGTACAATATATATATATAATTATATATTTAATTATATATATAATTATATATATATAATTATATATGTATGTATGTATGTATGTATGTATGTATGTATGTATGTATGTATGTATGTATGTATGTATGTATGTATGTATGTATGTATGTATGTATGTATGTATGTATGTATGTGTGTGCGTACAAATGGTTGAGAGAAAATCACCCAAGCAGACCATTTTTCCTGCCAAGAAGCTTCCTGTGGAGCCTCTGGCCAGTGCCACCACTTCTTGCCTGAAGCCATCATAGTGTAGACCTTGATCAGCTGCAACACAGCTCGGTTCGTGATTGAAAACTTCGCCTGCAAAATCTGGGTCACAAAATGTCGTCACAAAAAAAAAGGCCTGAAAACATGTTTACCCTCTGGTAAATCACCTTCAATGGGTAAATCCACTATCAATGGGCCATTTTCCATAGCTATGCAAACAAATTACCAGAGGTTTAAAACATGTCATTTAGCATGTCTCGTTTTCGTTCCAGCAAAAAAGGGCTAGGCTTGGCACATTCAGGGAGGAAGCCCAGCTGCATCTGATGAGCAAACCTCGAATTCAGGTGCCAGGCCAGGAATGGACAGACACTGTGCATGCTAGAGACATGTAAATACTGTATGGTAATGCGGTACCAATATTTAACTGAAAACATCCCATTAGCCAACCACTTGGTGATGCTCTATTCTTGGGTTTGCCATATCAAGCTGCTCAATTCTCTATTGATTTGCTCATCTATAAGGATGAATTCATCCATCAATCAATCAACTAGCAGAAAATGTGTAGACTTAATCAGACAACAATCCATGCATCATCAGGGAACATGATCATACCGTCCATCACATCATCATGTGTTGGCGTATATTGACGTTCATGACCCCAACCCATGTCGCGTAGTAGAAGCCCACTTTCAACTAGCAACTCCTTTAAGTTCAAATCAACATACAATCATATTGCGCACAATATTCTCTGCACGCAAAGAATCCGCCATTTCATGGTCCGTTCAGCGTTCGCCAAGCCATGTCCCGTTACAAGGACCCACACACTGGCCATCCCGTCTCCACGTGGGCAGCATGCAAGAAGTACTTCATGTTCGAGTACCTGGCAGGGTCCAGGGTGTGACATCGCAAAAATCGGCGAAAAAAACCCAGCTGGATGCCCCATCAATTTTGCCATGTGAAAAACCCGATTTTCTCACAACTTCCCACAAAAAGAAACCGAAAACATAGCGTTCATAGGGAAACACACTGCCGTGTCATGACCCCGACTCTTCGCCCTACAACTGAGCCGGTTTCACGTCTTCCACTGCACGTTGCTGTTGTTGAACTCCAAGTCGTCCTGGGTCGCCACCTGCGGCACAAGTTTCACTGTTGTAGACGTGGATTAAAAAATGACCATCCAAGCAGAATATGTTGGTTTATCTATGTTTATCTGAATAACTGACTTATCGTAACTTATGATCCAAAATCTCTTTATCATCCACTTCTCACCCAAAAACTCTCCAAACTCCATGTCTTCCTCATCGGTGAGGAAGACAAAATGCCCCAACAAACCTCCGTGTTCTCGCATTTGCTTCAGGCGGGGCACCCAAAACAGTATAGACGATATCTCCAGTAGAAGTTCGTAGTGGAACAAAAAAGTCACTGGTTGGTGGTAGCAATTCCCCCCCAGGATCATGTTATATAGTCATCGGGGATTCTCCTCCCATTTGGGTTCTTAAAATGGGGATTCCCCAAAACCATAGGTCTCAAATGTCAAAATAGATCAAACATAGTCTAAGTTTGGATGATTTGGGGTAACCCCCATGACTTAGGAAACCTCCACCATATGTTGGAACCTTTAAGAAAAAAAAACTGGGTGGAGCCAGTGCCTTCTCAGATAGCTGCGCCAGCACCACCTCGTACCACACTCCAAAGGGTACGGCTAAGGCGCCGCGCCGGCCCAACCTCGGTGGAAGGTTCCCATAGTCATGCGGGTATCCCAGTAGCCAGATGGTTTCTATGGAAAATCCTATGGTTTGTGGTTGGCCTACCCCTCTGAAAAATGATGGAGTGAAAGTCAGTTGGGATTATGACATTCCCAACTGAATGGAAAAATAATCCAAATGTTCCAAACCACCAACCAAACATGGATGATAGGATGATAACTAGGGGTAGAGAGCATGACTTAGGAAGCCTCCATATGTTTACCATGAAAAATATAGGGCTGGAAAATGCAAATCTTCTCACTCAATTCTCCGGAATCTACCAATGACTTGATGATTTCAATCATAGTGGTGTTTTTACTGGCTAAGACGGCTAAGATTCTCCAACGAATTTTGCCCCAACCACCCAAGAAAAATTATGGTCCCCTGCTAATTACCTTGTGCTGGTTGGTATATGTCACGATTGAAAGCAGTACGCCTTAAACAATCCCCAGGTTGTTTCCCACGGTGGGAAGCATCTGCAAATGGATGAAAAAACGACGCTAAACCGCTAAACATTCATCATTGCTATCATCCAACTACAGCAGTTTCCCCAATTCACCCATCAACATCACAACATCATGATTCCCACCCCACAATGCGAAACTCACCAATCCCCGGCCATCCCCGGCCACAGGTCCCGCGCGGACTCATCCCATCCCACTGCCGGAAGACCGAGAAGACCTCCTCCCTGGTCCCCCCACAGGCCGCGGCGCGCCGGGCCGCGCCGGCAAAGGCCGGGGCCTCGGCGACGCTAAAATTGGGGCGGAGCTTAGTGGCCAAAATGGGGAATGGAACCACCCATAACCAGCCAATGTATGGATTTAACATGATTTAACGTGATTCAACATGATTGAACCAACCAAAAATAAGGATTTAAACAGCCAACATGAGGATTTAGAGGGAATTTTGTCAACAGGAATGAGGACAACAACGTATATAGAGTATTGGGTTGTACAATGGGTGGGCATAAAACCAACCGTAATGCAGAGAGAATCAAGATATGATGGGGACGGAAAAAGGATATGATCAACGATATGATATATGATATGACTGTGTCCAAAAAGGGTGGATCACCCAATTTCTAGCCGCTAGCCATGCAAGAATGTGGAAAGTGGTATTTCGAAACAAGTGTTTTCTGGGGGCAAGGTAAAACCCAGGTTTGACAGTTGGAACTTCCAATATTTTTCTGGTACTGGACAAAATTTGGGAAGGTTGGCAGTGGCAAAGGTGTGGAAGATTCTACATGGATTCCTTGCGGGTTTTCGGGAGGTCCTGGAACAGGCAGAAAGTGCCAAGCCTCCCCATCTTCAGCATGGTTTGGGTTTCTGTTTCATCTGCTGCAGCTTAGGAACGCCATAGATGTCATTTTCCTGGTCCTGACAAAGCCTCAGTCGTGCCATTGGTGGCATCACAGGGTGCCCTCTCCCTGTAAAAAATGTGTGGTACGATGTGGTACGCCTTTGTAATTGATCACGGAAACGTTTTGGGTTCGATGTTAGTTTGCAGGAAGTTACATACCACAAGGTCGTTTGAGGTTTTGGGAACCCCAAACAACTGGCATAAAGGCTTGGCATGGCCCAAATAGATTCGCACACCACAGTGGTCTTTCTAAGGATCCAAATGCAATGATCAACATCCAAAGGGTCACAAAGAAAAAACAACTACCCCCTGGTAAATTAACATAGACCCTGAACATCACCAATGTTTAATGGAAACGAGTCTTCCAACCCGATGACTGCCAGGGTCTATGTTAATATACCAGAGGGTATATAGGTACTGGAATTTCACATATGTCACTAAAGACCTCAACCCGTGATAACCCGTGTAGCTATGGAGCACAGTACACTGCCAAAGTTTGGCATGGAACTGGGACAATGAGGTGTAATGAGGTCAAGTTGAAATGACTTGAACCAAGAAAATGACCAATTTCTGGCTATCTATGTCCAATCCCAGGTATGGCTACTCATCAAATTCCGAACGAAACCTCTCCGGTTCGCCAAGCTGATTGATGGTGAAAAAAAACATCGAAAAAATGTTTGGCAGTTATCTTCCATTGTGATTTTCATCCCAAGTAAGATCACATAAAGAACCCAACCAGAGATTCTTTTGTTGATGATGCTGCAATGCCCATAATTATCATTAATTAGCCATATTAAATGCCAGCTTTCTTTCAA